ACGTGATATAATCCCCAAGGGACATCTGCAGTGATCCACCTCCTGCAGCCATGCCCTGTCTGCCTACAGTTTCCACCTAGTTAGTTCTTTCAAATTATTAATCCGTCAAATGGGTTAATCTGATTAGGTTACAGCTCTCACAATTATTTCACCTTCTACATTATCATAGGAGCTTTTGGGATCATCTTATATCCAAACCATAACAATGAACAATGGAAAGTAATAAAAGGATATTAGTTATTAATTTGAGGGTTTTAAAACATTATTTTTGTTTATTCTTCCTAAAAATACAGGTGAGAGAATGGGAGCTCGATTTAGTAATAAATATCTGATAACTAAATTGTGCTACTGGCTTTGCATGTTTATAATAGAAAATTCTTTAATCACACAAGAATCCATCCAAGTTTAAAACTGATAAGTAGTGCTGCTAAATCAGCTGTGTGAACAGAAAATGAAAACAGACTAAAAATAGTAGGTTTCAGATTCACAGTCACCAGAACATGAACTCAATTTCATTTTGTTTAATGAAACAAAATCTACCAAAAACTATGTGTAAGATATTAATACATATTCTTTGTGTTAGAAAAATGAGCAAACATGCTCTGACCTTCTAGAAGTTCCAGTCTAGGAAGGGTTCTTAAGGTAGAACATGAGGGGCACTATTATGGAGATACAAGCAAAGAACTATGGTAGCAAAACCAATGTGGTGTTTGTTTCTGTATTTGTTTTATAGTTAGAAGTGCCTGGAAAAATTTTGTGGGGAAAGGCTTCACTGAAGAAGCATTCTCTGGCAGCATGGCAATGGTCACCAAGTAGCCTTCAATGTTTATTTACAATAAACAGCAGGAATGGCTCATCAGAAACTTGACATTTGGATTTTTGTCTCATCAGTGGCCTGGAATCTAAACAAGGAAAAGTAGCTTATAGAATTGGTATGCCTCAGAAATAAGCATTGTTTTTAATTTAACCTAATATTTTTGTGTAACTAGGAATTGAGCCCAAGTCATCACATGGGCTGGGCACTAGGCAAAGTGCTATGCTTCTGAGCTCCATCCTGCCTCAGAAGTAAATATATAGAAACTTCTTAGAATGAATGCTGGACTTGATTTTTGGCTTCCTGGGTTTCATAAATGCTTATTCCCTTGTCCCTAGGTTTTTTCTTAAATATAATGATGCTTGACTTCACCCTCAGAACAATATAGAGACCTGGACATTTTTAAAATGTTAAAGATATAGCACTGATTTATTCAGATAGCTGCTTCATATCTGGAGGGAATGAAAGAACAACTCCCATCTTTTCTCCTGGCCAGGGAATTAATCCCAGACTCCATACACTGGCAAGTCTGTTTCAAGTGTTCTTTTTTACATTTGTGGAATGTTTCCTCAAAATTAAATGCAGAATTGATGAAAAACATGGCAAAATGTACAATGAACATCTGAGAAATTAGATACATTTTTAAAAACTACTTCTGTTACCTGGAAAGGCATCTACAGCGTACAGTAATCTTGATTACATTGCCCTCTGGTGGTGATATGAGATTATGAAGTGCAAGAAGCATTCTCCTTTAGGTAGTCTTATTCAACATTTATTGAGCATCTATTGTACACCTAGCATCGACAGGTTGGCTCTGAGGCTACTGAGATGATGAAAACATAGTTATACTCTTGTTTACTTCTAAGTCTAACAGAAGCTGCATTGCAACAAAATAGAGCAGAAGTACTATAAAGATTCATGAGTGTTCTGAGGAAGAAATAGTCAAAATTTCCCTAGTACAATCTAGATGGACTTTTCAAATTCATTACATTTGAGCAGCACCTTGAAAAATGCATAGGAGTTTTTTGTGTGCATGTCTGTATGTGTGTATGTACACGTTTATGTAGTAGAATTGGTATGCCTCAGGAACAGCCTGTGTGCCAGAAGCCAGTCATTAAAATGCAGGGTGTGCTCAGGTGACCATTAGGTGCCATTCGTGTGAGATTCACAGTGTGTTTCAACCAAGTGTGACCATCCTGCTTCCCCACTATCATACCCACAAAATCCTTCTCAAACTTAGCTCAAGTAATATATTAGAAAGGTTCAGATAAACTAATGAAAGGCATTTCCATCATAGTCAAGATTTTGCTCCACCATGGTTCTATCATGATTATTTATAATGTATATATGTATCTTCTATTTAATAAAATATAATAATATTTGTATATATAATGAAATATAATTATATGTACATCATTGTTTTCTTAATCTAGATACCTGTTGTTATGATGCATGTTCTCATCCTCTCTTTCCTGTTTATATAACATTGACTTTCTTTTACCAGTCTCTTTAAAAATTCATATTGTTTCTTGATTTTGTGGGGGGGAATTAGAGCTTGAAAAATAAACCTACTTAATCACCAAAGTCCAGTGGATTTGTTGACTTACATTATGGATGAGGGTCTTTTTCTGGCCTCTCGGCCAAAACTCATGCAAAGTCCTGTGCTATTCCCATCTCAGCTACCATTTGGCTCATGTGCCTTAGGCAATTTCTCCTAGTGTCCATGTGTTTTATCAGGTCTGTGGAGTGAGAAATGGAGGGAGGGGTGAACAGGGATAATTGTCTATGACTTCCCTCTGTAAGGGCAACATCTGGTAGGCAAGCAAAGTTGGGTTCTGGAGGCAGGCAAATCTAGGTTTAAATTCTGGCTCTTCAATTTACTGTGTGATATTGGCAAGTGTCTTGGTCTCCTGTAAGTTTCCTCACCTGTAAGTACAAGATATTAATATCTAGCTCCAGGATTGCTAGAGGGATTAATAAGAATATGTGAAAATGCTTGGAACAGAGAAAGTAATCAGTGAAGATTTTCCTTCCCAATTCCCCTCATTCATGAGACAATCACCAGCTGTATAATACTTCCACTTAAATATAGGGATGATAAAACAATTTTTATGTATATTCCATTTTTCTGAAACTACCTAATATCTATGGACTCACCATCTGAAACTTAATCTCAAATGCCTCATCTCATTTTGGAACCTTACACAACTCAGTAGGTAGGGATCTTAACATCCCTTGCCCACCATTTCTTGAGAGTCTGCTCTGTGCCAAATAAAATACGAGGATTAAAGCATTCAATCACTGCCTCCCCCACCCCCACTCCCATCTAGTGGGAGGAATTAGCTGGTAAAACCAGCTACAACTGGGCTTGCTAAATGGCAAAGGAAGGGTATTAACGGGGAGGACATCAGGAAGTGCACCTACTTTAGCTGACCTTTGGGGTGAAGTGGGAAGGTAAACTGAATCAGGCAGGAGAAGTAGGGAGATGGGAGGAAGAGAGGGAGGGGAAAGGGGGGACAGGGGAAGAAGAGGATGGTGGGAGTAAACATTTCCAGGAAGAGGAAACACAAATTGTTGAAGGTAAATGACAAAGTCCACACTTGTGATCATATAACTCTTCAAGGTCATCACATTTTGGTCACCCATTAGGTGTGTGGTAGCCTTAGAGTTGTGAAACAAATGGGCTTTGTAGCCCAGGTTACTGGAACATCTTTAAAAACAAAACAAAACAAAATGAAACAAAACAAACAACTGTTGCCTCTGTCTGAAATAACCTAGCTATGTTCCAGTTAAGCACAAATCAAAATCATTAATTAAATCACTAGCATCTCTAGTACAAATTAAAGAAGCAGTTATTGTTTTTGGAGTCATGGTGCTGATACCATTTCATATAACACAGATATTCCTATGAGGCATTTTTTTTAAAAAGAAAGTGATACATTTCTTTAACTATAATTAGTACCCTTAAAAGTAGGAACAGTTTCTTAGCGAACAATATGATTTATTTATTCATTCTGCCCTTACCCATTCCATCCATGCAACCCAGCTATTCAGCAGATGTGGAGGTTTTGGATTCACTCCTCCTTTTGCTTAACTACAAAGGAAGCTCTCAAAAATTAGAATGCCAATTGTAAGGAGAAGGGGAACTGCAGTGTGAGGAACAGGCTTCCAAGCTA